CAGTAACTATTGTTTTGTAGGCAATGCTTTCGGTTTTGTCATTTTTGAGTTAATTTAATTCAAGAATTTATTTTGAGACACATACAGACACAGAATAGCTTGAATTCACAAATAGCATGATTGAGTCCGAATTGTCATTACTTGAAGTAGAATAGTAATCTTAGTGTTAGTTCCGTTAAAACAAAATTTGGTGAGAAGAGGTTCATTTTCAAGGTTTGGTATTCAAGCTTCAGTCGATCGAGGATCTCTATGTTTTCGTCCGCTCGTCCAGTTTCGTATTAATGTTCCAACTTTAAACGAAATCCCAGTGTTTTATTTAATAAACGTACAAGAAACTAGTTTATGTACACTATATTAAAATATGCAATTTGGGCGATAACATAATTTTAATGTTATATTATTGTTTGATATGGAATGTTGGAGTAAACTTAAATGTTATATTCACAGCACACACCTTGAATCGTGTTCGTTCAATGAAATGAACGTGCCAGTTTCATTATTTCATCGAACCACAGGGATAGAGGGAATGTGATCGAACGGAACAAAATTTTCAGTTCATGTAATCATAGTGTGCTATTTGCAGCGAATACACTATGTTATATGAAGAAAACATTATTGTTGCCAAAACAATATAATATATAGGTTTTACACATTATGAACGTACATTCCATCACAGTCTCTAGATGGATTGTGATTCCATGCCCAAAACAGCTCAATAGATCCTTTGAAAGCTCTATCGGATCAATTGAGATATTGCGATCTTTATATTTCATATTGTATTGTGTCAGATTGTATTGTTTTTTAATATTTTCTTTTTCATTACTTGTAAAACATGCTTTCTTCGCAGTGTGTTTAGTCTGCACCGGCAGTTTCATGTACTATAATTTCATTTGAACTCGTTCTGCTTTTATCGGGATCGGTTCTATAATTCGTCTTCTGAAAGCGCGGGGTGACGTTGCCGTTGGTGGCGTGCTTGCATACAGAGACTCAACGAATATTTCGAGTTCAATGAAATTCAAATCATTCACTATAGCCCCGAAGGAATGCACTACTGAGTGGTAATGCTACGCTATTTAATTACTAAAATAGTCCGTGTGCGACTTATGGATGGAACTATATTAACTACTATGTGTAATATTTACATATATATCAATATGTCTGGTTGTGGTAAAGGGGGCAAAGCATTATTTACTATGAAAGAATGGTGAATAAAGTAGAAAGCGTTACGGTAGTTCTCTTTTTGGAGGATGTGGTGGCCCTGAAAAGGGCCGTTTGGTTTGTGTACGCTAGGCATACGATTTACTTGGAGCTGGTGTACTTGGTGACGGCTTTGGTGCCTTCACTGACGGCGTGCTTGGCGAGCTCACCGGGCAACAAGAGACGGACGGCGGTCTGGATCTCTCTGCTGGTGATGGTTCTACGCTTGTTGTAGTGAGCCAAACGGGAAGCTTCTGAAGCGATACGCTCGAAGATATCGTTGACGAAGCTGTTCATGATGGACATGGCTTTGGAAGAGACACCGGTGTCTGGGTGAACTTGTTTCAACACCTTGTAGATGTAGATACCGTAGGATTCTTTCCTTCCCCTCCTTCTCTTCTTCTTGTCACCGCTACGAGCGGCGGCCTTAGCCTTACCGCCTTTCTTTGCTGCTTTACCGCTTGCTTTTGGAGGCATGTTGAACGTCAGAAATAATGTTCAGAATGACAGTAACTGTCAAAAGTCCCATTATATATAGTGAATGAAATGCAAATGAAGGATTCGACAAGCAAGGCGGGGAACATAGCGAACGCAAGAGAAAACACGATTTAAGTATACTTAAATTACATTGTGTATCTACTATTGACCCTTAACAATATACAACCAAGGTCGCGCTTTGCCGTATTTTGATTGGTGGAGATACTATACGACCAGAATCCGAGCGGGAGGTATAAATACTGGTAGGAAACCGCCAAATAGCTATAGTTTTCCTATAGAACTCAACTGCTAATTCAATATGTCTGGTCGTGGTAAAGGAGGCAAAGCAAAGGGAAAGTCCAAGACTCGTTCCAGCCGTGCTGGTCTGCAGTTCCCAGTTGGTCGTGTACATCGTTTCTTGAGAAAGGGCAACTATGCCGAGCGTGTCGGTGCCGGTGCTCCAGTCTATTTGGCTGCCGTACTCGAGTACTTAGCCGCTGAAATCCTTGAGTTGGCCGGTAACGCCGCCCGTGACAACAAGAAGTCCAGGATCATTCCCCGTCACTTGCAGTTGGCTGTCCGTAACGACGAGGAATTGAACAAACTTATGTCCGGTGTAACCATCGCCCAAGGTGGTGTGCTGCCTAACATCCAGGCTGTACTTCTGCCCAAGAAAACCCACGCCAAAACCAAGTAAATCGTATGTCTATAGCATACACAAACCAAACGGCCCTTTTCAGGGCCACCACATCCTCCAAAACGAGAACTACCGTAAATTGTGTGAATGTGTAAGCTTATTGCCAATGAACATGCAGTTATTGTTTGTTGTGGTTGACTTTGTATTTCCACTTTGAAAATTCTATAAAAACAAACAAAACTCATCTATGTAATATTATATCCCAATGTTCACCACGCTGCGATGGTAAATTGCATACATTAACGAAGAGTCTCGCCGTTACTGTGGCGTTTCTAGAAGTGTATTATATGAGAGATGCATAACGTTTTCATCATAATAAAAGTGTATTGCAACTGTGTTACCACTATTGCAACTATCAGGTACATATTAAAATAGGGCAAGTCATTGACTGTCAAGTTAGCTAGTTACAGCATTATACCTCCATGGTTACAGCTAACAAACCCCAAAATAACATACTGAACCAACCAACACCGTTATGTACACAAGCATTAGTATAGGATATTTTATTTGGCTCGTACATTATACAGAGCTAGAGTAAAGTCCAAAATAACACATACAAAATAAGTTAAAACAATTCTAAAACATGAAAAACAAATATACATGTACCGTCTAGCCATTTTACACCTAACTTTCGCATTCCATCCAACCTTCAACCATGGAAGGTACTAACGTTAGTACCTTTCATGCTTCAACATAAACTTCTATAATTTCCTATACTCACATACTGCAAAAAACATTATTTTATTTACAATTAACAGATGGGTATTTTGTTTATGTTTTAGCTAAACGTGATGTCCAGGGACAGAAACCAACTTATAGCTGTTCAATATGACGTTTTCTACTGCTACATATCCGATAAATACCACTTTTGTAGCTCGCGTATAAAACAATTGTGTACGTTTTTAATGGTGGTTGTTCACTGATCATAAAACATATCTAAAACTAAGCCGCTCGCTAAAGCAGCGGCAACAGATAACGTACTACCACGCCGCAAACACACTATACGCACCCACACATTTTACGGTAGTTCTCTTTTTGGAGGATGTGGTGGCCCTGAAAAGGGCCGTTTGGTTTGGTTTGTTTACGTTTTGTATAATATGGTAAGTCTAACCACCGAAACCGTACAGAGTACGGCCCTGGCGTTTCAAGGCATAGACGACATCCATGGCGGTGACGGTCTTTCTCTTGGCGTGCTCGGTGTAGGTAACGGCATCACGGATGACATTCTCCAAGAAAACCTTCAACACACCACGGGTTTCTTCGTAGATGAGACCAGAGATACGCTTCACACCACCACGACGTGCAAGACGACGGATAGCTGGCTTGGTGATACCTTGGATATTATCACGAAGAACTTTACGATGACGCTTTGCGCCTCCTTTTCCCAGACCTTTTCCTCCTTTACCACGACCAGACATGATTACTGAATTTGTAGAAGTAAATTCAACTGCCGATTACGCTGAGTTTCCCCAGTTTTATACACTTGTTGCGAACGTCAACGAAAACATGATATTCGGCCTTGGAATCGTGAAGTAAGGTTTCTGTATCGCCTATTCTGACGACCTTTGTTAGGTTTCACGCGTTACTCCGTTCTTACTACTGATTGGATATATTTTGGCACCACCTCTCCCAACAAAATCACTTATAATTGGGTCGATACACTTTCGTAGGGCTGCAACAATTTTACGTTGAATTGCTGTTTGTGTTGAGCGAACTGATACACACCTACGATTTTCATTAATATAACTTCAAATTTCAAATGTATATGGAAACCGACAGTACCATCATAGAGCTAAAATATCTACAATGATATTTAAACATGCTGTCCGTTGGTCGTGTCTATGTACGATAGAATTACGCACACTTTGTAACCTTTCCCGCGAGTAACCGATAAACCCTGACGTGTGAAGATTATATGCATATGTAACTATCGTCACAAAAATATACTAGTACGACCATGTATTTGAGAAAACCAAGTAAATGCGCTTATAATGCGATGCATTTTACACGATTTCCAGAGATAAAATACAATAATGCGACAAATGTAACGCATTTTAAATTGGCATCAATGCTTAAATGGCTATAAGGCCAAAAATACCAATATTGACATTCATGTCATTGCGCTGCCATTTGCAATCTGATTACATGTACTTGCTCCGATCGTAGTATTATCACAGTATAACCATGCATGGCTGTGAAACATGGTAAAACGGAATGGTCGAGCTTGGATACATTTTCGGATTCCGCTGCTACAATTTTTAACCAATGACAGCGTGTTAATTTCAACCAATCAGAGAGGACCTTAACTGACCAATCACAATGCTCCTGCTAATGGCCCTGACCAATTCTAATGAGTATTTTGCGGTATAAATAATGGGCGCGGATATTTGAATCTATATCACTTCATTCTTGAACAGGAAAAGAATTCAACATGGCTCGTACCAAGCAAACCGCACGTAAATCTACTGGTGGTAAAGCACCACGTAAACAGTTGGCAACCAAAGCCGCCCGTAAGAGCGCACCAGCCACCGGAGGAGTGAAGAAACCTCATCGTTACAGGCCAGGTACCGTAGCTCTTCGTGAGATCCGTCGTTACCAGAAGAGCACCGAACTTCTGATCCGTAAACTCCCATTCCAGCGTTTGGTCCGTGAAATCGCTC